ACCTGGCTCTCCTGCTCCCAGCCACCTCAGCCCGCGGAGCGATGGGGGAGCTGCGCTGATTTAAGATGTGAGAGGGTCAAAAGTTTTCTGGGGCTGAGCTTCTATCATGAAGCCGAGCACTTCAATCCCCCCGTTTTATCTGCCCCAGTATTTATTGTCCATGAGCAAATACTTGTGTTTTTATAAATTCCTTTAGAGTGAATCACTCTTCTCCTGTTCAAACCAGCAAAGACCACATCAAACAGTATCACTCCATCTAGAATTAATCATTAATTTAAAGTATTTGACAATATTTTGCCAGCATTATTTCTTCCTCTCCCCAATTAATACAGGTTAGGCCTTGGTGCTGACACTTTTTCAGGAAATCCAGCGCATCGTTTTGCTGCTCAGCACTCACCTGACGGGCAGCCACTGCACCCGCTGCCAGGCCCCGGCCCTGCAGCAGGACGTGCTCGGGTGTCCCCTTCCCGGCAGGTGGAATTACACTCCGGGTTGCCCGAGCGGGGCTCGCGTCAGGCAGAGGAGCTGTTGTGCCAAAGAGCGAACTCCCGGGATCCAGCGCCCGGTGTTCTCATCCGTCTGACAGCCGGGATGCAGGAAGCTGCCCCACACACGCAGCGACCATTGGGGAATGTAATGAGCCGACTCGGGCTGCTCCTGGGAAGGTGCAGGAGTGTGAGTCTGGTCGAGAAGATCATAAAGGGAGACAGGGCCTTCCTCTACCTGTTCTCACTGAAACTTCTGTGAACAAAGTGGAAAATCAGGCCAAAGCCTGATCTCAGATGCATGCATGTGGCTTCTATTCACTTTAGACAGAATCCAGCCTTTAAATGCCACATTTTGCACTTTGGGTTTGTTTTATGCCTTCGACGGGTGTTCTGCTAGGACACTGCATTTCATTTAAAAATTATTTTTGACAGGCTTTATGTTTGGCGAATTCCTGCACGCCAGGTCCTGCAAGGCACATTCCAGATCTGCTGGCCTTCTCAGAGTCAACAAATCCAAGTGGTTTTGCTTCCTGTTCACAAACAAGGCATGAAATGACCTTGATTTTTCCAATGTCTTTGTGGCCGGGCATTTTTTTACACACTTTTATGCCGTTATGCTGCAGCCTGTGGATGGTTTGCAGTTGAGTCTGCTTTGATGCTTTGCTCTTCAGAGAGTGTGGCTGGTCACTGGAGTCACATAGCAACGTTTCATGCTCTTGAATTGAAGGGCAAAATGTATAAACTTACAATGGCAAATGATAAAGTCAGAATATGGCCCGCCCTACACAAATAATACACCAGGGAAGGAAACATTGGGCATCTTAAGCTGGACAACACCACTCAGGAAGGCTGAATGAGACCTTCATTTTTAGGTCTTCATGAGCACAACTGTGCGTTAATCTGATACTTAAGTAAGTTGATTTAGATTTAGCAGCACAAATTGGGTGGTTCTTTTGACTTTTTAGCCACCCTCCCCAGTCAGTTACATCCAGGGCACCTAATATTGTGCCTTATATTCTGGTTTGGGACTTGTGCTGCTCAGGAGCACGATGGAGACGGTGCTGGGGGGACAAATGAGCACGGATTCCTTGCCTCTCTCTAGCAGCAGGATTACAGAGGTTGGCTCACACACAGCAAAGCCCAGTAAAGCCAGTGACAAGAATGGCTGCTTTGCCTCTGAGGAAATCACCTGCCAAACTCTCCTCCCATTTGCACCAGCAGAATCACATTTTATTGCAGGGCAATAGCAAAAAGAGCAAAACAATAGTATTCCATAACAATAGACCAAAACATTGTAACATCCCTGTAGTGCCCACTTCTCAGCTGGCATTTCTCCACTGGGTTTATCACCTTATCAGCCACTTGAATACACCTTTTTATGGCATGAGCCTTTCAGTGGGCTTTCTGAAAGACAATGATGGGCCTTTGAAGGTTTGGCTGATCTTGTTTCCTGTATGCTCCTGAGCCTTGTATACATTTAAATTTGACTTGTTAACTTTATAAGGATACTTCAGACTTGTATTGTACTGAAATTGGCTGGGATCTCAGTATCTGCCTTATTCCCACGTACTTTTTCTTAGAAATGCTTTGTAGTCATGTTATTGCTGTTGGGAGGTTTGGCTTTAACAGCCTCCAATAAAGATATGAGCCTGTGAAAGGGCACCAGTAGCCCAACATTATTCAATGGCAGCAACCGAAGTGCAGGTGCCTGCTGGGCGGTGTCTGCAGTGCCTCTGGCAGCGCCGCGGCGCCTGCCCGGGCCTCGCAGGCGGGCGGGAAGGCAGCAGGCCGAGCAGGGCCCCACGCCCACGGGCAGCTCCGGGGCTCCCTGCCAGGGCCGTGCTGTCCTGCAGCCTCCTAAGGAGGGAGCAGGAGCTCTCCGAGCCCGCGCAGGCTGGGCCACCCCACCACCATGGCCAGCGAAGGGCAAGGTGGGCCAGCGAAGTGCAAGGCTTCCTCTTCTGTTTGCATCTTTGCAGGGCTGAGGCCTCACCAGTGCTCACAGCGGCATTAACACTTCCCCTTCATCAGCAGGGAAAATGC